CCATTGGGTTTGTTTAAAATGGGCCCTTAGAGCTTCAGGGAGTCGCTGCCCTTGAATAGGAGCAGAGGGCCACAACCCTCAGGCTCGCTTGCAGCTCCCACTGCTGCTTGCCCCGCCCTTCATGCCTAATTCCCATGAGCCGTGCTCTTCCCAGCCTCTCACCTCTGCCCTGCTGTACCCTTTGTGCCCCTCGCCCACCCCTAGCACACACACTTCCAGCCTCCACCCCAATGTCACCTTCTCCAGAAAGCCATCCCTGCATTTGGTATCTTCTCCCTGTCCCTCTGCCCATAACCCACCGTACATTCCACACATCCCCATTGTGGTCTTTGTCACATCCGGAGGGTGATTAATTATCTATGTATAGTGACAGTAGCTTCCCTATGTGAGGGATTGTCATTGTCACAGTGGGGATGGGGATGGGGATGGGGACGTTTCCAGCACTTCAGAGCCAGCTCAGTGGCTCTCAAAGCGTGGGAAGCTAAACCGTGTCAGGTAGTATGTAGATGAGTGTTTTTAATTGTGCTGGTCTTGTGTTTGTTTTCGTTCTTTCTAAGTCAAGTGATATTGGTTTTTCCCTTTAGAATAATGCTTACTTTTTTCTCTCTCTCTTTCTTTCAAATGCACTTGAGGGGAAAAAAAGTCAGTTGGAAGGAAAATAGTAACTAAATCATTGTGCAGGTGAGAGTGAGAAGGCTGTCATGTTGTCTACGAGAGCAACTCCAGCCTTGAGCTGTCCTGATGGCCTAGGACTCTAAGGCATGTTCAAGCCCATAGATGGGGGCAAGGGTCTTGGACACCCCAGCACCCACCCTTCAGGGTCATAGAGACCATGGGAAAAGGAAAAACAAATAAAGACAGTCACCAGCAAGGACACTGATAAGTTCTGGGACCCCTTAAAACATTAGTGGCAACAGAGCTGTAGGGTGGGGGACCTGAGTTGGGACTTCACAGATGAGGGACATAGGGATAGGCAAAGGAGGCATAGAGGGGAGAGGATGAGAAACAATGGCACAGTGAGTGAGGGTGGGTGTCATATGGTCTGTGCATAGGGAGAGAGCAGCATAGCTGGGTGAGTCTGGGCAAGTTCCTGAGCTTTTGGAAGCCTCTGTTTTCCCATCTGTGAAATGGGAGTGTATCAAGTAGCCCCTAGCATTGTTGTATGCGTGTCAGTATGGGCGTTCAAGGCTCTCCATGGATATAAGCCCTCAACTTTTATAATTTGGGATGGGGGGGCAACGTCTTTGGAAATCTGTGGTAGAGGGGATATGTCTGGGATTGGTGTGGAAGTGCTGGTGACGGAAGCAGGACTTGGCTTCCTGAACCCACCTAGGTTCCTGTGGCCAAAACAACCAACTCCAGATTCCCCTGGGATCAGGGACTTTTGTGTGTGTGGCTTGAGAGGAGCAGAGGGGAAATGCAAAGCATCTCGGGAAAATGGCATCGGGTGAGCAGGAGGGGCCCTTCAGAGGCTGTGGCCATCCAGGGAGAGCTGATGTTTGTCAGATGTTGACCAGTGTAGTCTGGGGGGTACGGGGAGCCAGCCAGACTAAACTGGAGCCGTGTGGACCCGCCTTTCCTTTCAGGGCCCACCTAATGAGCCCACAGGAAGTGGCATGCGAACGAGCACGGGTGGGCTAAAAGGTGCTGTGCTCCAGCTAAAAATAATAGCTGGTACTTCCTGCAGGGCTGCGCCGTGTGCGGGGCCCAGGCTGAGCCTCCTCTCCTCCTGGTTAGTCTGCACATCCACACTGGGAAGGTATTTTGGCCATCTTCCAGGTAAGGAAACTGAGGCTTAGCCAGGGCCAGGGTTGAGGCCAGAGGCGTAGCTCTGGGTGGACCTCTTGCCTGTGATGCAAGGGGCTCTGGGTTCCATCCTCAACACCAGAAAATTTTAAAAGCCATGTAAGTGAGAGAATCAAGGTCTCATGCAGAGGGTAAAGGGACGCATCAGAGTAGAAAAGCAAAGGACTAAAGAGCTGGGCACCATAGTGCACACCTGTAATCCCAGTTACTCAGGAAGCTAAGGCAGGAGGATCATAAGCTCAAGTCAGCCTGGGAAATTCTGTAAAGACCTGGCCTCAAAAAATAAAGCCAAAAGGACTGGGGAAGGAACGCAGGGGCAAGGCACTTGTCTAGCATGTACGAGACCTTGAGTTCAATCCCTGTACTAAACAAATTAAAAATCTAATTTAAAATTTTGAGGGGCCAGTGTGAGATAGCTCAGTGGACTAAAGTGCCTACTTTAAGCGCAGAACCTATAGTTCAATTCCCGGCACCCCATGCCACGCCAGCCCTGCCCTCATGATGAGCTAAGCAGGCCAGAGTCCGGGCGTGGTGGCGCATGCCTATCTTCCCAGTGCAGGGGAAGCTGAAAAGAGGAGGATCACTGAGTCCAAGCTGCGTAGTGAGACCCTATAACAACCAAATACATGTAAAAAAATAACAATAATAAATTTTTGAAAAGGGCTGGGGATGCAGCTCAGGATACCTTGAATTAAATTCTCCATACTTAAAAAAAAAAAAAAAAAAGTCCAAGGGAGTTTGGAGGAAAAGCAGCTTGTGCTCAGCTTTCTGCAGCCCAAAGCTGGCCTGGCAAGGAAAAAGCAGAGGCGCGGAGCTGCGCTCTGAGCGCCTTCCCAGCCACCTGCAGACTTCATTTCCTCCTAGTTCCATCCTGTGAGTGAACCATGCAGTTGGTTGCTTCCAGTTCCCACCTAGCATGTTCTGTGGTAGCAGGAAAGGGGGGTGGTGTACTTCCTTGGCTGGGTCTTTTGAGGAGCCTAGAGTTTGAATCCAGGGCCTTCACACTGAGCTACCTCCCCAGTCCTTTTTATGTTTTAACACAAGATCTCCCTAAATTATTAAACTGCCCAGGCTGGGCTTGAACTTGCGATCTTCCTGCCTTTTCACAAGTCCCTGGGCCTGAGTTTCCGTCTGTACAATGAGGATGTCGGTTCCCAGCCCCTCCTTCTTTGGGCTACGGAACCTTCCAGCACTTGTCCGCTGGGTCAGCCCAGGAATCCAGCCAAGGGGTGGGGTCACCTGCTTGGCGGGCTTGTTGTCGCCCCCACCCGACCCTTTTGGTCCTGGGCGGTCTCTCCTCTCCCTTGTCTGCACAACTCCCAGCAGCTGTTCCTCAGGCCCAGGCAGAGAGCCCGGCTTGGCGCGTCTCGGGCTGAGGCCGATGAGAGAAAACAGGTGAAAAGTTCAGCCCTTGTTCTCTCCAGGAAGAAAAATCTGTAGCCTTCAGAGTGTGAAAAAGAGCCCTTTCTTCAGCTCCAAGGCTGCACAATAGAACTTCCCTCCAATTTGCCATCAAAAAGATGCCCTTGGCACTGGCTCCACCGTCCCTGGCGTCCCCCCGCTGCCCCCTCCCTGCACTGGTCCCCAGAGCAAAGGGACACAGTGACCACAAACACAAGCCACAGGCGGTCAAGGGGACGCTTCTGCATCCTTTCCTGTCAGCTCAGGGGTCTAACTGAGGTCACCACTAGCCAAATGCTTCCTTTCCCCCTGCCCTTCACCCCCACCGCCCTGGCATAGGTCATACCCTCAATGCCTCCCATTTGGATTTACTTGGCATCCTGGACACTGGACACTCTGCCCCTGTCTTCCAGCCCTGATACATCCAGCCTGGACCATCAAATACATTATTTCAACCGTCTAGACCTGCAATGGGGTGACAGGACACCTGTACTTCTATTATGCCACCAACTCCTATGTGGCCTTTTGGAGCCTCCCCCCACCACCCGTTCCTCTCCAGAATGAGGTGGTCGGGCCATAACTTAAGCGGCCAGTGTTGACTTCCTGGAGTGCCATGCTGAGAAGCTCTGTGTGGCCACAGCATGTGGAGATTGATTAGTGATGTCTGCACCAGGTACAGAATTACAGCAAGGCCACCTCCTATCTATTCTCACTGAGCAAGTGCCATGGAGGATCTCCCTGTGGCCTTTTAAGTTCCTTCACCTACTATGCCATAAGCGTTTCTATTCCCACATCATCTCCACTACCTAATACAGAATGGGCATCAGGATCTATTTGTTGAGTGAATGCTTGAAAGGAGTCTATTTAAATCTGTCCAGTGCACTGCAGTTCAGGTCAAAAAAGTGTTTTGAAGTTTTTTGGGTAGAGAAAGGGTAGAAGGGGGGTCCTGAGCCTGACCCCGGGTGAGTTAAGAATCTCAGATCCCTTTCACACCAGGCTGTGTGACTCCTTCCCTCTAGCTGCTGGTTCAGACGCTGATCTAAGTGTCCTGCAGCCCAAGAGGACATGTAATAAGTGACCCCTTTCCTCTCAGGGATAGGAGCAGGAGGTGATAGAGGAAAGGGAAGAAGGTTACAGAATGTGAGGCCAGAGAGGCAAGGCAGGGTACCTGGTGGTGCTCAATGTGACAGAAGAGAAACCCCTCTAAGGCTCATGTTCCAGTTTTTGAGAATTGACACAAGCCAAAAAGTGAACAGAGACGGGGCTGGGGATACAATTCAGTGGCATAAGCACCTGCTTGGCAAGTGCAGGCAGCGTCATGAATTGAATCCCTGGTACTGCACACACACACACACACACACACACACACACACACAGAACAGATACCTCAAATTTTATGTACATATTTAATATTTGGTGAGGGATCCTTAGGAGCCTGTCTGGAGTATCCAGGTTAAAGAGCCTTACCCAATGGAAAAGAAGAATACTAAGGACCATGAGACATGATTGGCTGAAGGGAGGGAGGGCGGGCATTGCTGACCACAGATAGAGGTCCTGGAAGGGCAGGACTTGGAAAACTTGCCTAAGATGACTGACTAGGCTATAAGAGTGGGCGGGCTTATGGAGTGAACAGGTAGGGTGCAAGGGAGTGTGGTCTGGAGGATTAGAATTGGGTGATTGGAGCAGTGGAGGTAGGCAGGGGTCTGTAAAGGAAAGACCTAGAGGGGAGGGATCTTACGTCAGGCCAGAGTGATTGACAGCAGTGGAAAGGCAAAGTGGTGACTCTTTGCTCTCCCTCCAGAAACGCTGATGGACTCCACTACCGCAACGGCTGAGCTGGGCTGGATGGTGCATCCCCCATCAGGGGTGAGTTGGTGGTCCCCAAATCCCATTTGGCCCCTGGGCATTGGCTGCAATGCCTGCAAGTCCCTCACATTCCAGTCCCTTTCTCCTCTTCAGGGCCCAGAGTCCGACCTACCCATCCCCTATCATTGATGGAACCCCAGTTACCATGGCAACCCGCTGGATGCTTTTAGCCTTTATCCCATGGAATCCTCAAGGCGAGGCCAAGAAGTAAGGCACTCGCTCAGCCCCCATTTCAGATGCGGAAAGTGAACTGTCACTTCCTGAGTACCCGTGCTATGTCTGATACAGTATGAAGCATGTTTATAAACATCATCTCCGGTCAAGACCACAGGAAGGAATTACCTCTTTTACTGATGAGGAAACTGAAGCTCGGGGAGGCTTAGCTGCCTGCCCAGGGCCCTACAGCTAGTAAGTGAAGGGGCTCAGGTTTGCTTTGCGTTCTGTGTTTTGGGTGGGGTCTTTTCATTCTTGTTTTGATGCTGGGGCTGGAATCCAGGGCCTTCTGCGTACTTGAACACACACTTTCCCACTGAAATGCACCCCCAGCTGGGGTTCAAATTGGTATCGAGGGTTGTGAACAAGTCCTCTCTGCCCCTTTTCTGGGTCCCCATAACACGAGCCCCGCCCCACCTACGCATGGTTCGTAGCATTCATTGCGCTTCCTTGGTTTGAGTCCTCCGAGCCCACCTCTGTGCCACCTGCTTTCTCCCTAGCTCTTGCAGAGAGGATGTGGGGGTCACACATGCCTAAAATGCTGTCCCCGTGCCACTCATGAGCTGTGTGGCTTAGAGCCATGTGCTTAATCTTTCTCAGCTTTGATTTCCCTGTCCACGAAATGATAAAGATGACTTCTTCAGGGGGTCATCGTGAGGTTTTCCTTGTAAAGTATCTAAGGTTGGCCCCCAGTAGAGAATAACTGTGATGATTGTCACTGCCATCCTCATCACTGTCACCAGTTTTAATGCTCCCGGTCTCTGGGGAAGGCTCTGAACTCCACGACCCATTCCTCCCATCCCCCCACCTCGGCTCCTCCACTGAGACTCAGCTGCAACCCCTGGGAGACGCCCCCCCACCCCCAGGCCTGTGCTCTCAATAGGCAGGGCCCCAGGGTCAGGCTTCTTTCTGTGGCTCTTTCTTGTCACCAATTTTCCATCTGCGAAGGCGGCTGGGCCCACAGCCCCACCCTGCCAGTAATGAGGCCAGGCTGGGCTGCAGGGCCCCCGGACGCAATTATTTGGGGTGTTTGGGCTGCAGGGCCTCCGCATGTTAATTAGAGAGAGGGGAGAAAGGCAGAGTGCTCTAATTAAGTGCTCTAATTAAGTTCTGAAGAAGAGCAGCGGTTGTAACAAGGGGCTGACTTTGTCACATGGTGCCACCATAAAAAAAAAGATTAAATGCAATGTAGGGAGCTTCAGAGTAGCCACTGCAGAAGAGGCCAGGCTAGCATGCCCCAGCTTGGCCTCCCCTCCCATACTCACCCCTTGGAGCATTTGACCATTCCCTAGGCAGACGTGGCCCAGAGAATCTGAGTGGCAAAGGCACAAAGAACACCCACTGGAGGGTGACACCTCTCCTAACACCTGCCAGTCTCATATCCCCTTTGGCAATTGGGGAACTAGTAGCCCAGAGAGGCTGAAGGACTGGCCCATGCTTACGCATCAGGTTAGCTAGCAGCCTGTGTTCCGAGATAGCACAGGCAAGTGCATGGCTGGGTCTGGGTTCCTGTGACCTGGGTCAGCCAGGTGACCTCACTTGCCCTCTCCTACTCCCTGTGCTGAACAGTGGGGGGCAGTGATGCCGTGTGTGCACATCATGACGAAGAGATGACACTATGAGAGTGCCCAGCCGTGGATCCTGCTGAGAGGAGGAGGTTCTGCTGTTGGGGCACTTGTCCACCTACCCAGGGACCCAGGAGAAGGAAAGGATGGGCAGCTCCCCTGGGCAAGCTCTCTGGCCCACTAGGGAGACCAGACCAGGGGGGCCAACTGTGCCAGGCACTTGCCCAGAGATTGTCCCAGGGGCCTGAGGAAGAGTTGATGGACTCAAATGCAAGCAGCCAGGGGACAGCCTGCCTCAGAGAGGTGCAGGGTGACTGCAGCCCTTGCCTAACGTGCACACTGTCCTGCGTTGTGTTATAAGCACTGCATAAAACCAAAACAAAGAAAGGATGCTTGATGAGGATAAAGGGGTGACTGAAGGCTCAGCCGTGGGGTGAGCTGGGTCTATGAATCTGCGGGCAGGGACATGGACACTGTGCCCTTTCCAGCTTCCTGGCAAGTGGTCCAGCCCTTTATAGCACTGAGGTTCTGTGGTTCTCAGTCAGGTTTTTGAGCTCAGGCTGGGACCCCATGGGTGCTGGAGCAGCCCGTCTGGCAAGAAGGGAAGGCAGACAGGCTCCCTCTCTGAACTGAGATGAGCCAGCTCTCGGAGGAATCTTAGCAGCTGAAAGCCTCAGAGAAATGCCCTGACTTTCCTGTCGTACTAGGAGGTCACTGGGAGTGAGAACTGTCTTCTTCTATCATACTCGGAGTCCCCAAGGGCAAGGACTGTACCTCCAGGATCTGACAGGGAGCTCCTAGAGGGCAGACATTCTTTCTTACTCTATCAGACTGGTAGCCCCCAAGCATAGAGACATCTACCTTCATCGGAAGGAGCTGCCTGGGCCAGAGACCTCCCATCTCCCCTTGCAGGTAGAAACTTCCTGAGCTCAGAGTCTGTGTCTCCTTCAGATTAGTGAATCCCTGACAGTGCACGTTAGGCAAGGGCTACACAGCTCCCACATCTACCAGGGGAATGCCAAGTACAGGGCTATGCCCTTGCCGTTGGGTTGGTAGAATGCCACTTTTATAGGCTGGGGGATTCCTTGGAGTCCAGGTCATGTGTCTCTCATCAGGCCGGGAATTCTTTTACACTTCCGTCCTCTAGACGGGAAGGTCACAACAACAGAGCCTGGGTCTCCCCACAAGACAGGGTGTTTCCCGGGGCTGAACCTCTACCCTCCCGACCTGACTGGCATTTCACCCACAGTGGGAAGAGGTGAGCGGCTATGACGAGAACATGAACACAATCCGCACATACCAGGTGTGCAACGTGTTTGAGTCAAGCCAGAACAACTGGTTACGGACCAAGTTCATCCGGCGCCGTGGTGCCCACCGCATCCATGTGGAGATGAAGTTCTCGGTGCGTGACTGTAGCAGCATCCCCAGTGTGCCTGGCTCCTGCAAGGAGACCTTCAACCTCTATTACTATGAGGCTGACTTTGACTCGGCCACCAAGACCTTCCCCAGCTGGATGGAGAATCCGTGGGTGAAGGTGGACACCATCGCAGCTGATGAGAGCTTCTCTCAGGTAGACCTGGGCGGCCGGGTCATGAAGATCAACACTGAGGTGCGGAGCTTTGGACCTGTGTCCCGCAGTGGCTTCTACCTGGCCTTCCAAGACTATGGTGGCTGCATGTCCCTCATTGCTGTGCGTGTCTTCTATCGAAAGTGTCCCCGCGTCATCCAGAATGGTGCCATCTTCCAGGAGACGCTGTCTGGGGCTGAGAGCACGTCCCTGGTAGCTGCCCGGGGCAGCTGCATTGCCAATGCCGAAGAGGTGGATGTGCCCATCAAGTTGTACTGTAATGGGGATGGCGAGTGGCTGGTGCCCATCGGGCGCTGCATGTGCAAAGCAGGCTTCGAGGCTGTGGAGAATGGCACTGTCTGCAGAGGTAAGGGCCACAGCAGGGCAGATGCCCCTGCAAATGCATGGAGGTGGCATTGGTGGAATGTTTGGGCCTGGCATCCTGGGGCTTAGATTGGCAAGGGAAGAGGCTCAGGGCCAACACTGAGGCAGTTTCCCAACCTGAAACATTGCTCAGCTTCCCAGAGGGAGTCCCTTGGTAGTACTTACAAGCACGTAGGATGGGAGGTATACCAGATGACTTGGGTTGGTATGAAGCTAATGGCTTTTTGTTCCAACTATTGTGCACTCATTTGTGATGATAAATGGTATGTATTTCTCTTCAGTTGTAAAAGTAATGTCGGGGGGGGCGGAAAGATAGTTCAGAGGGATAAGCACCTACTTGGCAAGCACAAGGACCCGAGTTTGATCCACAGCCCCACATGCCATGCAATTTCAGGCCTGGATTCCCTGGGCATGCCATCTTAGCCCCAGAGGTGGGTGCCCACCATTTGGGCCCGGAAATAGGCGTGGAGGTACATGCCTATAATCCCAGCTCTCAGGAGGTTGAGTCAGGAGGATCTCTGTAATTTTGAGACCAGCCTGGGGACTACAAAAGTGAGCACAAGGCCAGCCTGAACTGCATAGTGAGACCCTGTCTCAAAAATAAATGAATAAATAAAGTAATACAGTTTCCTCGAGGGATGTGTGAAACACACCTATAATCCTAGCACACTGAAGGCTGAGGCAGGAGAATTACAAGTTTGAGCCTAGCCTGGGCAGCATATCAACTTAGTGAGATCCTATCTCACAATAAAAATAAAAAGGGTGGGGGATGTAGCTCAGTGCAAATGCTCTTGGTTCAACCCCTAGTTCCAAAAAATGTGCTATGGTTTCTAATGTAAGAAAATGAGTACATTATAATAAATAACATTTAGGTATGAAAGAGTTAACATTTATTGAACTTTTGGTGCATTGGTCAACATAGGCCAGGCTCACGTAATGTGGTAAAAATAATCTAAGTTTATTTCTCACTCACTGCTACATGTCTGACCCGAGTCAGCTTGAGACGCCTTCTGCTGGGAGCCAAGCAGATGGAGGAACCACTGTTTGCAATATTGGCATCATCAGAAGGAGGGAAAGAGTATGGGGCATTGGATGCTGGCTCTGGTGCTTCTCTATGGAATGGCCCACAGTAGAAGCACTGCTGAGTGGTGGAGGGGCTATGTAGATGGAAAGATGTGGCTTCCAGTCACAGCCCTGCCAGCTATTAGCTGCACAACCCTAGCCAAGGGCAAAACCCTCCCTCATAAGGTGTATGAGAAGCCAAGCACTTAAAGCACGTAAAATGCTTATAAATAACGTTTCTGGCACACAGAAAATGCCTAATGGTGTTCATTGAAGGAGGTCCTATCTCCTAACCCTGTCTGAGCAGATGCTTCGCAGTTTGAACAGTGAGGGTGGTGGTTGTGCAGAGGGATTTGAAGCTACTTATGCTTCGTCCTATTGTGTTCCCATTGGAATCTGATGTTGGAGCCAGATCGTGGTATATCCCAAACACCAGGCCAAGTGTGGACCCTGTTCCAAAGGCATAGGCGAGCCGGGGAAAGGTTAGGCAGAGGGGATGACCACAGTGATCCTCACCTGCCTCCCACCTCTATAGCTACCCCCTAAAGGCCTGGAGATGAGCAAGCAGCATTGTCAAGACTCTCAGAAGGGTAAATGGGGGCATTGGAGACAGGAGGCAGTGGGCTTCCTGGAAGCAGGGGCAGTGGTCTCCAGAGATGACGGCAGCCTGGCCCAAGTTTCATGGAGCTGGGGGAGTGGATTGTGGTCAGGGGATGTTTTGCTAGTGAAATGGATGGGGTATGATGACAACTCAGTGAGGGAAAGGAGTGGCATCAGAGGGGATAGTGAAGTCTCTCTCAGGAAGAGAGAGAGAGAAAGAAGTTACAGGGAGGTTGTGGTCTAGAAGAAGAAAAGAGAAAATTGGGAGAAAGGGCTGGTTTCTTGGGAGAGATCAAAAATGGGTTTTTGTTGTTATTTGTTTGCTTGCTTTTGTTTTGTTTCATTTTGATTTTTGGTGGTGTTAAAAATTGAACCCAGGTCCTTGTGCATGGTAGGCAACTGCTTTACCACTGAGCTACACCCCCAGCCTACTAATTCAACTTTATATCCTTGGGGAAAAAAAAACCCAGCCTCGGACAGTGGTGAGACAGAGTGGAGAGATATAGAAACAGGCAAATCAGAAACCAGTCACTCATTGCTTGTTTATTCATTCATCAAATTTCACGGAGTCTTCCTGTGTAAGACCTTGTACTGAGCCCCAGCTAGTGCAGAAAACAACCCGCCTGTGGCATTGGGGTTCACAGTCCATGGGGGAGACAGACCTATGAGTGAATAAGGGCATGGGGTGGTATTATACTTGTTTTTTGGGGTTTTTTTTAAAGGCAGAAGGATTTTTTTTTTTTTTTTTTTTTTTTTTTTTGCTCCCAATGCCTTCAGGGCAGGTTTGGCTGGCTTGAGTTGTGGGGATCGAACCACAGCAACCTGAGCCTGACTGCTTTGTTGAAGCAGCTACTTAGAGAACTGAGCTAAGGGGCAGGCCCCCTACACTTGTTTTATTAGGAACTGCTCAGGCTCTGATGGGCAAGAAAATGACAGAAGAGTTCTCAGAGGAAGTGCCACTGGAGTTAAATCTGCAGAGAAGGCTATTAAGTAGGTGGCCCAGGGCTTCTGGAGAATGGATCTATATGAATAATGGCCTGAGGATGCCAATCAACTCAGCTCTTTGGGAGGACTGGTTTATACCACTGTGGTCAAGGGATCCTGGAAGAGGTAGGAAGGGTTGTCACTAGGGGGCGCTTGTAAGAGGAGGTGCATCCGATATCTACCGCTGCGTAACAAGTTACCCCAGTGGAGAAGTTTAAAACAACAACCTTGCATCATCTCATAGCTTCTGAGAGCTGGATTCCAGGTGTGGCTGGGGTGGGACCTCTGGTTGAGAACCTCACAAGGGTGTAGGTTGGCTGGCAGCTGAGGCGATAGTGTCACCTGAAATCTCCACTGCAGAAAGGTGGCTTCCAGGCTCCCTCACATGGTTGTCACAGGCAACACACACGTGTGGAGTGATTCACCCAGACAGAATGTGACAGAGCCTTGGAGAGAGAAGTCACCATCTTTTTATAATCTGATTTGTGAAGTGGCATCTCATGACTTCTGCTATATTTTCTTCATTTAAAATGAGTCACCAGGGAACAGACCCACTAGGCTAGCAGGACCCTGAGGCATCCTAAAGGTTGCCTGTCTGAGGCAGCTTCCTGGGTCAGAGCCTCCCCTCAAAGGCACTGAGGATGCAAGCGGTGCTGGGCCAGGATATGCCTGGCTCTGGCTCCTTTCTACACCTTTGCTCCCTGATAGGTCACTCAGGCTGGGGCCTGGGCCCCCCGGCCAACACTGGGTACACATGGATCTCAGGCAGACTGGCAAGCAAGCTGAGAGAGCCCACAGACACCAGCTCCCGCATGGCCTGTGGATGGCCCTATCCCATTCCATCTGGCAGGCACTGGCCCTGCCATCCAGGCAACAAATGGGATGATAGCTCACCTATGAGTGGCTGGCCAAACGCTTTCCCCTCCTCCACCTCAGGGACTCTTGGCCTACAGTGCATCAGAACCACTGGTGCGTAGGTGAAGACCCGGCCTCCTGCGTCTGGCCCAGCCCTTTTCCCTGAGTCTGGTAGCATGGCCCCAAGGAGGGGACAAGAATCAATGTCTTTAAATAAGCAGCCCTGATGAGTCTGTCTGGGAACCACAGCCCAGATGTGCCCTGAGAAATGTATCTTACACTAAGCTGGAACTCAAGGCCTTGGGGGTGGCCACAAGACCAGCCCCAGCCCCAGCCCCAGCCCCACCCACCCTGGGAATAGCTGCCCTCAGAGAGGACAGGGGCAGATGCTGGGAGGGTGTGCTCGGCAAAGAGCCACTGATTAGCCAAAAATAATTTACAGGCAATATCCCATTACCGTGTGGATACAAATCACAGAAAACAGAGCTGGATGGGGTCTTCTTGGCAGCTGGGGGAGAGGGGCATCTTCATGGGGAGCAGACACTGTCCCATGGCAGGCGGTGGTGGCTAACAAGTGCTTGCCAGTTCAAAGCACAGCCAGTGGTTCCCAAAACACCTACTGAGTGCAGGACATGGTAGGGAAAGCCAGCCATTCAACAAGCATGTATTGAGGACCCACTATGTGCTATTTCAACCCTCTAGTAAATGTGTGTTGAATACAAAGAAAAGAACAAGACACAAGTGAAGTGTGTTTATTGCCTTCCCAGAGCTTTTAGTCCAGGTGAGTGAATAGGGGGAGACAGGGGGAGAGAGTCTCTTGGGACTCCTCCAGTAAAGCTTTAAACCAGTGACCAGTGATAGATTATGATGAAAGAACAGGAAGGGGGAGCAGATGTGACCAGAGACATCCACAAAAGCACCTGTTTCAGGGGGAGCAGCTTCTTGGGAAAGCTAGCACTTGAGCTGAGGGGAGCTGCTGGAGGGTGGGGAGACACTCCGGAAAGTGTCCCTGAGAATCCCAGGACATGGGGCTTGCCCTCAGGGTGTCCTTTGGGGAGACAGAGACTTGGAAACATGGGGGCCAGGGCAGATCGTGTCCTGCCAAATGCAAGGTCCATCCAAGTACTTGGAGAAAGAAGGGCACCCTTTGCACAGGGCATCCTGGAAGGCGTCAGGGAGGTGGCATTTGAGTTAGGAAGAGTGAGCAGGAATCTGATGGGTAGTCTACAGCCATACCACCCTGAACGTGCCCAATCTCACCTGATCTCGGAAGCTAAACAGGGTCGGGTCTGGTTAGTACTTGGATGGGAGAGGAACCAGATGAGTAAAGAGAGGGAGGGGAAACTAGGTGAGGAAGCTGCATGATTCAAGACCTGAGGTGACAGTTCAGGGCACCCTGAGAGGTGGCAGGTGGCCAGGGCTCACCTTTGCCCTATACATCCATCTAATTTCATTTATTGAGTCTCAGATCTGGGCCTGCAC